ATAGAAATTCGTGAGTCATCTTACAGTTCAGCCCGTCCTACGGGTTCTAATCTCCCAGATCTTCGAATTCACTTCTCACTGAAATATCGCTCATCCACCTCACGGAAATCTTTTTCTTTACGCACTATTATGCCCGATTTTATTTTAACTACCTAGGCCTTTATTAAAATTATAACTTGATGTTTTGTTCTTATTGGTCACTCGCTTAATGTCAGGTTGCTTCGATTAAAAACATAACAACACTAATGTTATAATAAAGCTATATTTTCATCAGAAACGCCATACTTTCTATGCTAAGACCAATAATACTAGCGCCATACATTGAAAATATACATAATCATTTCAGAGAGTATATAGCTCCCTTTTGGACACATACTTCCAGTGATGCATTATCCATAATCGTATTATTTACCATTTCGCAGTTCCTCAGGACGTTCTTTCCTTCCTGAAATTGTTTTTAATCAAGTGGCAGTATAGCACTTACCAAGATACACACCGTTCGTTGGGTGACAATAACTGTCAGCAGGAAACCAAACGAATTTTTGGTTGTCTCTCAACCTTAGTGGTGACCTTATTGAAGGGTTTACAATTTGACATTTATGCGGACCTGTTCTGATTCCCTGTACAAAAGTCCAACAATTTATGTTTTCGTTTAGGCTTTTGCTTTGATATCGGGCGAACTAGCAATCATTATTAATAGTATTCCCTTGGAATCCGAGTGGAACGTCGGGCTTCAACATCACATTTCCAGCTTGTTCTGTTTTCTGTCATCCTCTTCATCTGGGTTCACGACTGCCAAAACTCTTTCATGTCTCTCTCACATGGTCTCCCCCATGTCACTGTTCTACCGGCAACCCACTCGTCGCTTCCCACTGGGATTCCACTCGAAGGCCTGTATTGGGCGCGATGTCATTTGGCGGCCTCCTCACCGTATGCTGAATCCATCACCATTTTCTCCTACATATACTGTGGGCAATCACCTCTTGGTTGGTTAGTTCCCAAAGTTCCTTTTTACCTATTCTCTCTAGCCATTTGATCGTCATTATGGAACCAGCCAGAGGAGAAGAGGACTGTTGATAAAAGCCCGTAACTTAATGAAAATCCTTTCCATGACACAATGCAAGTTCTCGACTCGTATAGAAGGACCGACTTGAAATTAGTGTTGAATATCCGAGTCTCGTTCCTTATGCTGTCGAGTGAAGAAGACTTCCATACTGATTTTAGGTTGGTGAAGACATACGTTGCCTTTCCGATTCTGGTTGGAAGGCTTTCATATCTTCATCCGTGCAGCGTGCCTGTAGTTGAAACCATGCTTCCTAGCCGGTGAACCGAAGGGGGTAACCCCTGCTAAATCCCTCTCGTTGATGTTGATTGGTGCTGGTCGGTTAACTTCATTACCTCCGTCTTCTCTGTGTTCACCTGCAGTCCTGTCTTTGCCGCCTCTCAAGCCAGTTGGTCGCTTTTCGCCTGCAAGTCTTCTAGTTTATGTGACATTCGACATATGTCATCTGCAAAATCCAGGTCCTCTAGTGTCTACTTATAGGTCACCCATGGTAATCCTGACTCCTCGTTCCCCACAGTCCAACTCATGATCCAGTCCACCACAACTGAAAATACCATCGTGGTGTGTCAGTCACGTCTCGTAAACCGTTAATGCCCAGCTCTTGCTGCACTCGGGCTCACGCTGTTCCTTGAAGTTTTCCAGAAACGCTTAGTAATAACGGACGCAAAAACCAAAACACCGATTGGCGACTCGAGGATTCTTTATTGTTACACCAACATATAAAAAATATTTCTACTAAGGTCTGTGAACAAATATTACAATAATAAATCACAAGATTACTTCTGACGGTTTTCTGCTGACTTCTTTCTGAACAGCGACCGATGAGACGATGACTGTCGTATTGATGCCTCCGCGAAAATTGGGGAAGTTGGTTTTGAGCAAACAACCAAGAATTGATCGTTCAATCTTCAACTACATTGACATGGTGTATGATGGGAAGCAGGCCTTGTCTTACCACTGTATCTGCGGTGAGAGCTGACTGTTAATCAAAATTGGTGGACAGTAATTTACGTCAATATTTATTTCCCCAATATTGGTCGTGAGAAAAATGATAACAAAGGCTTTATGTAGGTGGATGCAGTTAACATATAGATGATCTTACATTCAAGAAACAGCCACAAAGAGAGGCAAGTTTAACTTTCCGTGAGAAATAACCAATCAGAAGACTGCGTTTCTCTGCCGACAATAATCTATAAAAATGTACATGAAAATCTATAAATATGTGTTGATTTCCTTAATAAACGATCTGTTTCCTGGCCCTTGTCTTCTGCTGTTACACATTCACTTCGAACGCCTCTCTGGGTTTTCCGTTGTGGATTACCTGACACGTGCTACTGTCATTTAGCTGTTGAATGAAGTTGATAAAGATTTAGGCGTTGTAAGCCATAGTGTTGAAGTGGTTTCCAAATTACTTCTCAGTCAACGCTGTTTGGTGAAGGCCTTTTCGAAGTCGATGAAGTTGAGCTGGGGTGAAGTTTAACTGCTATTTTATGCTTTTTTCTGTGATAACGATGCGTAGGTCTGTAATCTGACTAGCACATTATTCTCCTCTCATACATTTAGCTTGTTACAGTGGGGCTGGCAAAGTTCTGTATCCAGTGCCCCATCTATTCTCACCAGGATGATGTGACTTAGTATTTTACTTGGCGTGGTTAAGAGCATTATTCCACGTCAGTTCTTGCAGAGTGAGGCATAGGTCGCCCTTATGTGATAGTTTGACAAGGTATCCAGCATTTCTTCCAAACGGTGGGTACCTTTCCTCCTTTCTAAACCGTATGCAGTAATGGAGTGAGCATATCTGCTTGCAAACTCTGGGTCCGTTATCAGTGCTTAGCAGAGAATTCTGTTTGATCCTGCTGACTTTCCAGACTTTAGAAGCGTGATCATATTTGGGATTTCTTCTTTCGTTGGAGGAATGGTGTCCAATGGCATGTAGTTCTGTGCATGCTATTGGTGGTATTTCTGGGCGAGTTACCAGTGATGGTCGATTCAAGAGTCCTTCAGAGCGATCGGCGGGTTGCTACATTTGTTTCTCCTCATTAAGCACCTTTTATTGGTTTCATGATCTGGCTTGATCTCTTCCGGGGTGGAGACCTGTTTACTTGATATAATATCCTGAGGTCTCATTTACCTGCGACCTGCATGTCCTGCTTCAGTTGCCAGCGTGTCGTAGAATTGTCTTTTTCTCTCCTGGCACTCTTCTTCACGTCTTTATTCATTTTGGTGCACATTGAACCTAGCTGCTCCTTCTGCTGCCCATCTTTCCGTTGAGTCATCTTCTCCCTCACCATCCTTCTTTCCTCGATAAGCTTTCAGATATCCTTTGAGAGCCATTCCTTATCTTGTCTCTTCTTTCTCCCGAGAACAGTTGTACACGTTTACCCGAATATCCCTTCCAGAAGGTTCCACTGTTCTTCCACGCAGGTTTCCTCGTTGATCACACGTAGTGTGTCCGACTCAGCTGTGATCTGTGTTAAAGGCATCCCTTGTAGTTTTATCCTCCACTTACTGAAGATTGAACTCGAATTACAATGGCCAGCCTCCAGTTGTCCTGAGGGATTTCCACTTCACCTTGAAAGTTCCTTGGACTAGATGATGGTCTGAGTCCGCATCACCTCTCCTTCTTAACTTTCCAACCAGCAGGTTGACTGGGTCTTCACTTCCTTGAAACTGAGATGTGGTGCGTCCGTCAGGCGAAACCCATGTTGCTGAGCGTATATCCCTGTGTTCGTTCAAGCTCGCTCTGAGAGCGCAGAAGTCTGCGGATAATTCCCGGTCTCATCCACTTATCCGAGAGCTTCTCGACCCGTGATGAGTTCTCTTTCCATATTATTTGCTCCAAGTTTGGCGTCCATATCACCTATAGGGACTTCGATGTCACTATTTGGTATGTTGTCCATTACTGTTTGTAGCTGTCTGCAAAAATCTTCCTTCTTCTTTTGTCTTGCATCGTTTGTAAGTGCGCAGCACTAAATAATGTTGACCTTACTTACTTTTGAGTTGAATCTCGCTGTTATGAACCTGGATGAAATTAGTTCCTAATGCATTAGGGCTCTGGCTGCCTCTGGTCACATCACTATAGCCACTCACTGCCTCAATGTGCTCGTGATCGTCGACTGGGTGACCGGAGTAGACGATTTTCTCTCCCGTTGACAGGGTTGCCAGTCCACATCTATTTCATATGCTCTCGCAGATACTCAGTACTTCTAAGCTATATCATCTCACCTCTTTGACCACCTTGGCAGCTTTTCCAGTCTCGTACATTGTACGGATATTCCACCTACATATTCTTACTTTTACTTTCATCGAGAGAAGTCACATCGGCTAGCCGACTGTTTTCTCGAAGGTTTTCACCAGCCCACGTCATTTCGCCCCTCCGATTCGAGCAAAGTATAAGACCTTTATCTGGAGTTTTTGTATTTTTAATGTTTCTGTGTTGAAGTTTCTCTAGCGGTCTGAAAGATTTAGTGGTGTGAGGTTGCTAGCCATATGCCCGATCCTCCTCCATTACTCTGGCTTGAAACCAGCTAAAAAGCTAGCAGGCTAGTTAACAACTCAATAATCTAGAGCCTGATATGACCCAAAGGTAAGATATTCTGCTCTGCATATTATCGGTCATTCCAGCTGATATGACCCACATGTCAATTACGGTTGCTTCCACAGTCACCGTACAGTGAGCCTGAAATGTGGTGTCATGATGGTGCCAAAATTCAAATGCTTCGGTAGAATGTTTCTCACACTTTGAAGGGAAAGTTCGAATCAAGGCTCAACATCTCTGCCTAGTAACTTTGTCTCCAGTCAAAGGAACGCCAATGTAGGCTGTCACTCTCCGATATAGAGTTCCATGACTTTAATAAGATACTTGAGAATATTCCATTCTAAATTGCTGAGAACGAAAAAGGATTAAGATGAGGATGCCAAATTAATAGGACCGTGATCCAGATATTCGGATTGCTGAAATTGTTTAAATCACTTGTGCACCTTTGGTGGCACATTTGGTCGAAATCGTGGCCTGTGGAATATGGTGGGTTGTGTTCCAATTTTGTTTTCGGTTTATATCTTGATGTAATCTAATTACGATCCATCTATTCAGAGTGAAAATACGTTGATTAGGACAAGAAAGTTTATGTCCAACCGCTTGCTATGTCGCAAGCAAATGGTTGTGGATATTTTGCATCCAGGTCGTTGCGTTCTTTCAAGGAGTGAGATACGGGAAAGGCTAGCGAAGACCTATAAAACTTCACCAGATGTTGTGTTCCCGTTTGGTTTTCGCACACATTTTGGTGGAGGAAAGTCGACAGGGTTCGCTCTTGTTTATGATTCCCTGGACCACGCCAAGAAGTTCGAACCCAAGTTCCGTCTTGCTAGGGTAAGGTGTATCCATTTTTCTTAACACTCCGCAGAATAATTTGGTAACGATACCACAAAAAGGAAGAAAGATACGGAAGGAAAGGAAGAACAAGGCTAAGAAGATCAGAGGAACAAAACAAAAGAAAACAAAGAAAGACTCTTAATCATGTCAAAGAAAACGTGAAATAAATGGTCTGAATTCGTATATATTTTCTGAGTAGTTTGAAGAAGTGGTCTGTTGACTTTGGTATTAATCGCACAAAAGTTAGTATCTGCCAGAACTAAGTATGGCCCTAGTATCTGGTTTATTGTTTACTTACAGTGTTTTGGATATGGAGAGGTTGGTAACGATAAAGACCTCATGGGGCTTAACAGCCTAGTCTCACTTGTTTTCGTTGTATTCGCCGTTTATGGTTCAAAGCAGCACTAATAGAGCGATGAGTGAATCAGCAAGTAGGACAGTTAATATGATTGAAGGCCTTAGGCTACAGCAGGATCTAGTATCGGGATTCTGAACTCACGCTGATAGTTTCAGGCCAAGGCAATAACTCCTTATATATATATATATATGCTTGTAGAGGATTCAGATCACTTAGTTGGTTCTTACTGTCCAACCTAAGGATAATGGATTAAATTTCGTTCACAACATGGGTGTGGCCATGATATCTCGTTTGTTCTCCTTGGTGTCTTTTGCTTCTATCCCACCATTCATCAGCATAGTTAGCCCAGCCGGTGTCCTGCCTTGTGACTGCGGTTTTTAGTATCCTGGTTGAAGTCCAGTACCCACGATTACTGCTCGGCGATCGTATGCCACACTGATAATATCTGTATGACTTGGCAGTTTATGTGATACTATTATTTTTAACCGGCTAGTCGTTTCGATTACTTGCCTGGACCACTTAAGCATACGTGGAGCATCACGGCGTGTAAATTCAGTAGACGACCTTTTTTTTATAAATCTTTCCCACCATTTGTATCAGTCGGTACTAAGTAGTGCCAAATCATGTAATAACATGAAATGTCATCAGTCATTGAAATTCATAAGTTAGTTTAAGCTAGTCACATAGAGAGGTGTAGATTTCATGACCGGTTGGGGTCCTCGGGATGGTAGGAACCAATGAAGGCTGGAGACAATAGGTGATATGGCTCAGAATTCGTTCTAAATGATGGCGCGGACGTATCCACTCTTTGTGATTTGTAATATCGAATAAAATCCCATTGTATCATATTACCATACTTTTTGTCTCACATTTCTTTTGATTATCTCTCGTTACTCTCCTCTCTTGCTTTGAGTGCTACATAGGGTGTGGCAACTCGAACTGGTGCACATCTGTGCAAATTTCTACGTTGAAGCCAGGTAGTAACAGCAAACTGTAAAGCGAGGTGCATCAGGCAAATCTGGTGTTCGTGATCATGGATATGCTGAGTGATTTTAGGATTTATCATCATGGGCTTGTATTTTGGATTAGGGTAAAGAGGCTGCAGGAATCACACATTATTGGTTTAACATGAGATTTTAGAACATTGCAAATTACTCTTGGACTTCATGAATGTTTATTTTCATGCTATTTGATCATTAAGTTAGGTAGAAACAGATTAATTTCAATATGTATGCCTTAATCTGCCCAAGCTTACCTACACACCAGACTGCTGAGTGTTATTGCATCCGAAAAGACCAGACAAAATTGAGTCCTGGTTTACCCAAAAGTACTGTATAGCATAAGCAGTGCTGCACTCAAGTTTTTTTCTACCGCGTTGCCCACCACCACCTTAACGCCACTTTCCTTGCGTAATACTTTTAATAATTGCTCATTTATGTTAATCTATATGCATTAATTAGCACAGTCGTAAAGCCCACCCGTCTGATTGTGTTTTCCATAGTTGTGACATGCCTCAATCATACTCCCGCAGATTCCCTACTGTTCAGATGTTTTCTTATTGGAAAAGTCTTTATCAAACGGAACGAAACGTGCCTACTTCGCATCACTATCCACCTGAGATGGGTTCAAAACCGTTGATTTGATGTACTATAAGAATCCAATTGATGTTATTCTGTAGTGTTTTCCTTACGCGTATGACAAAGTAACATTGCCTCTTCCTAATAGTTGTGGTCTTTTGAAACCCACTCGCTGTATATTTAACTCCTTGGGATGTGCTTGCCATGATTTTAGTCTCGAAACGGATTAGTGTGTAGACGGAACGACTCTTTAATTAATACAAGCCTTCGTTCTCGAAGTGCACAATTAACAACGTGTATATATTAGTGAAGACACATAAAAACATTGTGATTTTACTAGTAATTAGCTTACAATTAAAATTAGTAAGAGGAAATTTTTACAATCAATCAAGAGTTTGAATCTATCAAATTATAACCCTGAGAATATTGTTTAACGGGGATTTCGACCGGTGGATTATTATTATTATTATGCCATAAGGCAGGTTCATTTAACATGTTGAAGTTTGACTTCACATATTCTCCCTTTCTCATATATTGGGGTTGTAAAACATTGTAATCCGGTAGCACTGGGTTACATAGGGCGATTGATATAGACCTGAGTCTCTCCTCCATTGCTTGTTTTGTCGTTTCAGCTTCTAGAAGAACTGCACGCATTTCTGATTCTACCTATTATAAAATGTGAAATAGGAATACGTGTTATCGTTAGAAAATGCATTCATTAATTAATTCCTGATGAGTACTTAGTATAGTTGGGTACAAATTTAAAAAGGGCTAATACGATCAATTCAATTTACACCGGATAACAAAGATTTGTGTTAATTAAGTTGTGTAGGACTGTGAATTATAAGTAGATCCATTAATGTAATTGGGCAAAACAGATCTTTAGCCTGTAAATTAAGGATAATTAAGTTGCATTATGATCATATTATTCCCCCTGAGATACACGGGATCTGCACGATACTCTACGAATACTAAGTTTGAGTGACACGTAGACGATAGTCATTAAATGCAACAGTAGTGATTTACAAGAAATAGAAAAAATCGAAAGGCTATTAGGATTTGCGTGTTATTTTATAAAGTTTCGATAACTGAAAGTAGTGGTGACAATGTAAGGAAGTTATTAGGTAGGCATAATAAATACTTGCATGAGCTACTGTATCTGAATATTTTTCAAGCTGTTGCACAATTACCATCAACAAGGAGAGGAAAGCCTCAAAAAAGGTAGGTTACCAAACACGGTATTCAGTGGCATGTAAGTTTATCGTACACGACGAGGAGACATAGATTTTAAGTCAGCTTCAAATCTGCAATGAGAAGCTGCACATATGGTTATGAGTGTGTTTCACCAGTTAACTGTTATTGGTTCATAGGCAGGTTTCCACGTCAGGGTGGAGTGCTGTCAAATGAGGTTTATATGTATGTATCTTTCTGTCTGGATTCAACATAGAACTTGGCACCGAAGTGCAGCAGTTCCAGTTGCCACGTTCCAAATAGCACACAGAGGCAGACAAGAAGATGAGTGAAGAGAATTTAATAGAGTTTGACAAGTATAAGAGTGAAACAGAATGGGTAGTGGTAGAAAGGAATATGAAAGATTACAGAGACTGAATACATCTGAGCTGGCCATTGACAACGATTTTGAGCCATGTCACCTATTGTCTCCAGCCATTGATTCTTAGAGTCAGTCCCGAGGGCCCCAACCCGGAAGTCTGCATCTCCCTACCTGACTCAGTTTAACTGTCAAGGATTTCATGGATTGATGAGGCCATGTTTTTGTTTGGCCACCACTGGCTCTTTTCCAACCTGCACCTCTATATCAGCTAGTAATGCCCGTCGGGGGAGGCGATGGTCAGGCATGCGCACCACGTGACCTAGCCATCTCAATTTATGTAACTTTATAGCCTCGTCGATTGATTTTCCCTCTATGCCCAAGACTCTACGCCTAACGTCAACATTACTTATCTTGTGAAACCACCTAACGTGAGACAGAGATCGCAGACATCTATGATCGAAAGCAGTCAACCTTTTCATGTCTTCAACGCGTATTGGCCATGTTTCAGAGCCATAGAGAAGGATGGAGCGAACTACTGAGCAGTACACACGTCCCTTGGTTGATAACCGGATGTCACGCCTACGCCAGAGATGGTGTAAGTTAGCGAAAGCAGCTCGAGCTTTTCGGATCCGTGCTGAGATTTCATCGCCAATCAGTCCATCGGTGCTGATACAACTTCCCAAATAGGTGAAGTGGTCAACATGTTCTATCACTTCACTCCCTATCACTAAGTTAGGAGTTGACGTGGTCCAGTCCTGTAGCAGCATCTTACATTTTGTAGGGGCGAATCGCATGCCAAACATACGAAGATTGCTGCTCAAGGTGTTCAGAAGACTCTGCATTTTGTCATCATCCTCCCCTAACAGGACTATGCCATCTGCATATTCTAAGTCCATAAGACTATTCCCTGGTAACAAGTCGATTCCTAAGTCGTTACGTTCAGTTAAGGGTACTTCCATTAGCATATCTATGATGAAGTTAAACAAAAATGGGGAAAGTGGACATCCCTGTGGGACACCACTGGTTGTTACTAATTCAGATGACAATTCCCCATGAGCTCTTACACGACTACGTGAGCTTGATTAGTGCAATGTACTTTCTTGGCACTCCCTTCACAGTCAAACATTGCCATAGTACCTTTCGATCCACGGAATCGAAGGCCGCCTTCAAGTCAAGAAATATGGCAATTATTTTCACCTTACAAAAAAGGTGACTGTATCAATTCCTCTTTTGGTATTGCTATACGCCGGGTGGTTTGTACTCACGTTTGCCGAAGAAATCACTCTTTTTTTCTTATTAACCGGCAAACTGTAGTTTATTTGGCTACGTATTTTTCAATTCCAAAACAGTCGCGCATATGGCGCCTCATCTACAAGAATCAGTATCATAACTCGCACACAATACATGACTTGTATTTTATTAGCAGACGAAGTTTTAGATGTCTCCTAGGCTGGCGTGCTGCAAAACAGAGAGAAATAGTAAATACTATTGTAATGAACAACCAAACTTACTTCAGCTACACGTGATTCACATGCAATACGCAACTGACCAGCTTCCTTTCGTGCATTGTTAACTGCAATTTCCTTCATTTCTTCCACAGCTAATAACTGTTGCCGGAAACCTTCATCCATACTTTCCATTTTTGAGTGTAGTGTACTTGACAAGCCAAAAAAAGGTACATTAAGTGGTGATTAAACACTATCTGAGATAGCTTGGCAATAGTACACTGCTATTGGTGTACTGTGACACCATATGGACTAGATAAATCAAGTGACGAACATTTGCTATAGATTAACTTGATTGAAGTATGTTGTACACACACACACACAGGAGCAATGGTCGGAGTTGGTGGGGATCTGAGGTCACTTCATCAGTATTCGGATTATCAAAAGCAAGACTACTAATTATGATACAATACTTAACTTTCAGGTATGCTTTGAGTTCGACTCGGATTTCTGTGCAAATTTTTCAGTGGGTATTTTAGTTGTTGAGTTAGTCGTTAACCACTTATTTCGATAATCGATATGTTTACTACTGTGAAAGATGGATAATGCTCGATGCTATATTTCTTGGCACTTCGGAAGAATCTTTATCACTGCAAAAGTTCTGTTCAAACATTTCGTTTAATCAAAACTGCCACTTTACTTCTTCAAGACGAACAACAAGAGTAGGGGTCATTGATATAAGCTATATATTTTGCATGAATCGGAGTGAAATATACCAGGGACGTATTAGGATCTTTTTATGAATAGTCATGACACATATGAGTTTTCTCATGTGTATATTTAGTACACCAATACGTATAAGTATTTAAGGCGGCCAAATATATCCTTTCAATATGTAAATTTTTTTCGAGAATATTAAAAGATATGTACATTCCCACAGTCGACAAGTGTTAGATAACGAACTGTCACCGGTTAGAGGACTGTTGCAAACCAAGGAGTAGTGGAAAGCTGTTTCGCTCCGGTTTAGCACTCTCCAGCACCAAGCACCCATAATCCCACTGCAGATCGAAACCAGGACCTTCAGGTTATGAGGCAAGCTATTGACTATCCAACCAAAGGACAGTGAGTTCTAACTTCTGCCAATCACTGATACACGTATCGCCACTGCGATATGACCTGCTGAAGAGTGCCAAACTTGGACAGTCCAGCTGTCCAGTACTCCTCGTTTCTCTCCAATCGATGTCCTTGCACAACGACGCTTGGAAATCAGAAAATAATTGGTCTATAAACGTTAAGTCTGTTAACAGATTACCACGAAGTAAACTTTATTAGGCGTAAAGTTATACACATGTATAAGTTCTGGTCAGTGTGCTTACTATGAACCCTAAAATGTCTTTACATGACAAACGAAGTTATTAGAATTGAAGGCGAATCAATCAGTTACTTGTAACTTTTCTGTATCCTTAAATTGCATGTTTATAAACTAAGTACTTTTAAAAACAGCTTGAGATACTCCTATCGGAAAGTTTAAACTATAACAGGTACCATCGGGTACCTTTTGAATAACCTTGAACAACCACTCATAATATAGCGATGTTTAGGCTAGTGAATTTGTTGATTGATATCAGTTAGAGAACCATTAAAATACCAGGGTGTACTGGAAGGCTGTTTCGTTCTTGTTTGGGACATATCGGCAGTACTCGCCACCCGAATTTCGAACCCAGGACGTTTCGGTGACAAGTCAAGCTCGCAGATCATTCAGCCATATTTGGACTCGATCCAATGGCCAACCCATGAATTCCAACTCCTACCAATCTGTGGTTTTGACGCGATCACGGTCCGATATCATCGGTAAGTATTTGTCTTCACTCCCGATCGGGTAGGTCCCACTAATCGCGACTCCTCAGTAGAAATTCAGACAACACCCTGCAGCTAGTCCCTAGCGAGCTTGCCTTGTGACCAGAAGGTCTTAGCTTTGAAGAGTGGTGGGTGCGTGCTGCCGATCAGTCTCAAACTAGCAGGAAACAGTTGTCCAGTGCTCCCTGGTTTCCAGTGGTTCTCTAACTGACATTAGCCCGTGGTCAAACTTGGAATAAATCAAATCCCCACAACTTAACTAATGAAAATTTTGTCAATTAACTGTACTCCGATATGCATAGACAGCCTTAAGTACTGTAATGAAGTATCTCAGTAGAAGTTTTGTAGCTAATCCTATAATCAAGGCAAAACTAAGAAATCGGATGTAGAGCAGCGGGCTATGAACCTAATATGTGCATAGCATTCATGATAAATGAGGTGATTGGATAATTGGGAGTCATTTTGATGAAGGTTTCTTTCAGTCGAGAATATTGGTGAGTCGCTACCATAGTTTAAATTGGACCACCTATCTTATTTAAATATTGTTATGTGACACCTGTGCGGTATTGATTGCTTTCAAACATTTCACATCATCTTCCAGAAATCCCCTTCTATCAGGAGTTGTGTAAAGTTAATGATTGCAAGATTGATTTTAGAGCATAATTCACGAGAAACTTCAAACTAACTGGAATAAATATTTCCAATTTATAGGCTTTAATTTATTTACCTGACTTGCTGTTGTGCTGTATCTCTTTCGTTGATTAATCGTTTCTGTTCTTCATCCCAATTGTGACGCATTTGTTCTACTTGTTTTTCTAATTTATCTATTAAACTTGAACGATCACGCCAACGTTGAGACATGGAACTATATAAGCAAAGGAAATATAAAAAAAGTATAAAGGTAGTTTTGTTATCTAAATGATAGCAATTATTGCATTAGTAAGACAAGCTGGATTGTAGGGAGGTGTGAATCAACTGGACAGAAGTAACGCTGAGCACACTAAAATATCTGGTTCGACTGTCAAGTTATCATGCATTAAATTGATCTGTTTTGATCAGGATTTTTCTCAACAGGCTTCAGATGACTCTTATCGATACTGAAGATCAAATGGCGAAAAAAAGAATTAGCAACAGGGAACTCCGACTGACAGGCAACGAACCAATCAAAGACCTATTGCTCAACAAATATGTCGAAAAAAGTGGAGATGGATCGAACGATGCGCTGAGGAGATCCACTGAGTGACATCAACCTCCACGTTATCAGCTCGAGCAGAACCCGGATGGGAAACAACGAGTAGGGTGGTGTCACTTCGAGTGTAACATGTAAGAGATTGTGTGGAGAGTAGGTGAACGCTTATGGGCAATCGTGAACCCAACTTAAGAGGACTACAGAAAACAGGATGAAATGATGATATGCTGTTTAAGTCCTATGTTCCACTCATAGCCTAAGGGAATAATATTCAGTAATTTACTGTTAAGTAAGCAAGGCGTATCTTTGACTGCAGTACTTGGTGGCGCGGGTTCGAATCTCAGAAGAGATATGAGTTCTTACAAGATTGCAGATACGCCTTGCTAGCTAGTGAGTGCCAACTAGCACGAAACCTACGTTAAGCAAGACTTCCTGCCGATGGCTTCCAACCATCTAATACCAACAATTCACAATGCACTGTGGTGGCAGGCAAGCCACCTAGCATGGTGACCACACTGCAAACTTGATTGATAGAATTCAGTCTGCACCGAACGAAGGACTAGACATCACATTAGTGTCCAATCAAAAATTGACAAGATCTATTAATTATCGATGAAAATAACATCTACAAAAATGTTTTATTAATAAACACGCATCTATAGAAAAAATAATGCAAAAGTATCCTTTTAACAGAATGAAGTATGCGAAAAGTAAAGTTGTTAGTTTCTGGGCAGCTAAATCTTCTTGAAGCCAATAAGTGTAATCTTATGACAGAAGTTACCTGAAAGTCGTGATTTGTAAACATTTACTTCCCGATACGAATTCAAAACAAGCAACAAAGGGGTTAATAAAGCAGGATGATCTAATGAATTCATCAAATTTCGGTAGAATTCTTCCTCAGCTAAATACTCGACATACAGGGATGTATACACTATTGGAAATACATTGGGAGATATAAGATTGATAAGTAAATAAAGTACACATTGAATTATTCATGCAAAGCGACACGTGTGAGTATTTTTTCAGTTCATGTTCAAATAGATAAGGGGAAGGAGAAATGAGAGATTAAAAATTAAGACAAAATGCAATATGCTTCAATTACATCACTTAGATAAACAATTAGTCACTCGAGAAAGAATTTAAATATATCAAAAATTGTGGACTGAGTAATAGTCATAATAATAAGGCTGGAACGAGTTAAGATAATGCTAGTGATAAAAGTTGGTTTTAAATGAATCAAGAATAATAGTAATAAGAAATAGATTAGTATTAATCGTATTAATAATAGTAACGGTTAATAAGTAAAACGTATTACCATGATAGATTCAGAATGACGACTATTTCCTTTTGTATACAAAGACCTGATTTATAAACTCGAATTGCACGATCCTCAGTATTATCAAGCATCTTCCTGTTTCTTTGTCTGCTGTGAACACTGAATGACTTGACAGTGTCGATATGATGTCCGTAGTTCACAAGATTCTTTGTTATTGAGCTTTTTGGTACTTTGAATTCAGCTGTTTTCAACCATTTTGGCAAATGCTCCATTATACGAGTAAACAATCACCTTTCTGTACGACCCATGGCATTTGGCATCCACAAACACACTCAAATTGGTATATGCAGTTTGAAGTGTCGAGGACTGGCGACCGGTTTTTCCCAGATTGTTGAAGCACTCGCTTGGTGGTGTTAAGGAAGACAAGTTTTGTAATCTAATTAAATTTTAATCTCTCATTCCTCCTTCCCCTTATCTATTTGAACATGAACTGACAGAATATTCACACGTGTCGTTTTGCATGAATAATTCAATGTGTACTTTATTTACTTATCAATCTTATATCTCCCAATGTATTTTGAGCAATATTTAACAGCACTCTAGCCATTGGTTCTTAGCATCCTGGGGACCCCAACCAGGTAGTCTACACCCCCCTTACATGGCTGAAGCTAACTGTTGAAGAATCCACGGATTGACACCATGTTTTGGTTTGATCACCCCTAACCCCATTTCAAACAAATCTTAATGAGTGAACATTGGTGAACAGGGAAGGCGGTGGGTAGCATGAATCCTAACTATCTCAACCAATATAGTTTCCCAACTGTATTGATTGACTTACCATTCTTACCTAATGCTGCACGCCAAACCTCGATAGTGCTCATCATACTATACTACCTAAAACCAGAAATAGCATGCAGATATCTATGGTCAAAGACGACCAACCTTTTCATACCTTCCACTTTCAATGACTATGTCTTACAACGATAAAAAGGGCGGAGGTACGTACGCAGCGCTAAACATGTTCTTTGATTAATTACTGGAAATCACGTCTGCGTTAGACGACGTAAGTTAGCCAGTGTCCCACGAGCTTTATATATCCATGCTGAGATTTCGTCAGCAATCAGTCCAGTGGGGTTGATGCAACTTCCCAAATATGTGAAGTGGTCAGTACATCCTACCAATGCACTCCCTGTCCTTAAACATGGAGTCAATGTAGACGAGTCCTGCAGCATTTGAAGATTTTCTGGTCAAGACGTTGCTGACAAGAACAGATAAGAATGGTACCACAATGACTAAAAATGAGTGTGGCCTAGACAGAAAACTATTCGATGATGGTTGGTGGAAATGTCTAGAAATCTGATAGTGATAAAGGCGGATCACATAAGCACCACTGTATACGACATAAAGCAAAGTTACGAAGAATTGCATACTGCTAATTCTTGACATCCTAAAGGCTTCCACATCAAGGTATCTACATCTCTCTCAAAAAAAGTGACTGAAGTCAATAAGGGGGAAATCCAGATAGCTAGTGAAGACATACCACATAAAAAAAACATAACAACAGTAAGTAGAGACAAATCATTCACAAGGAGGAAACTTACTCATTTTGTTCTTGTAACTCATCAACTTTTGAGTGTAGCTCAGATACCAGTTGTTTTAAGTCTTCTTTACGCTTAACAAGATGTTTTATTTCATCCTGATAAAGAGCATCAAATATAATTTATCAGTTAAAAAGTAGGATACATCGTTTTAGGCAATTTTTTTCAAAATTAAATCCCTACAAATAAAAGCGTAGCATTGAGATAATAATAACAACGGCTTCATTGCAAACGGTGCTTCTGATACACTGTGGAACTTTCAGAACATAATACAATAATGCATCTAATTCTAACTTCACATAATATGAGGGATGGAGTACACTTAGCGGGACAGTTACGTTGACAATCAAGTCAATAAAGAATCCCAAACTAAGACGAAACAGCCGAGTATCCAGTACTCCCAGGTTTTCCAATGATTCCCTAACCGATGTCAGCTCATGGTGAAATCCTGTAACCAAACAATCAAATCCCTACAAACCAACACTTGAATATCAATGAGATGCTCACTAGCAACTGGCCATATTCAAGCAGGTAGTTATCTGGGGTTCTAGTGGGAAGTCGTTACCAGTAGGGCACAGCAGGTCGAATGTGAAGACAAATACTTACCGAAGACATTGGCTAGTGGTCGCGCTGCATTGTGAATTGACAGAAGTTGAAATTCATGGGCTGAGCATTGGATCGGGTCCCAGTGGTTTAATGGTCTGCGAGTTCGTCTTGTAACCAGAAAGTCCTGGGTTCGAACCCTGCCGGTGGGTGCGTACTACTGAAAATCTCCAAACTAGGCTGACGAAACAGCCGTCCAGTAATCTCAGATTTTCCAATGATTCTCTAACCTATCTCAGCTCTTGATGAAACCAATCAAATCCCCAGAAACCAATCCTTGACTATTCAAAGTTAGTGACAGCAATAGAAAGTGCGTCAAATAAGGTTTCGTAGTTTTCACAGCTGCTCGTTCGAGAATAAAGTCTTTTATAGTTGCTTCTTCTAGTCCCAGCTAATGAGATACAAGGAGACATTATGATGTATAAAGAGGATGCTCAGAGTTCATATTACCCATTTCCTTGCATCAGTTCACGTATGTAGCTATTATAGTATTAAAAAGTTGACTTGAAGGGACCCCACTCATCTTCTAGTGCCATTCGCAGTGTAACACAGTCTTTCTTAAATAGCCCAGTAGAAGTTCAAGAGGAAGCAATAAAGAAGAATCGATAGAATACAAGAAATAATAAACTGCAAAAGTAGAGACTAAATGATACCAGATTGTCTTAACTTCCGAATGTAGAGAGTTAGACGAAGTATATTCAGAAGATTAGAGGAAAGACACAATCCAAGGTATTTAACATCCGACTTAGTTTCAACTTTAGTGCTTTCTATGATACAAGAATCATGAGAACAAACCGGTTCATATAAATGTCGCTGGTGTCTATTATTATTATTGTTCCCTTGGGTTTCTAGTGGAACATAGGGCTTCAACTGCACGTCTCCACTTGCCACTTCTGTCTTCCTTCTGCTGTACTTTTCACCTGCATCCTTGTTAGTCCATACTGTTTGAACTCCTCTTCACCCTTGCACCGACGTCCCACTCGCCGCTTCCCTTTTGGGTTCCACTCGAGCGATGGCCTGACGCGCGCGCGATGTCACCCAGCGGCCTCCTCAGCGAGTGTCCAATCCTTCTTCACTTTCTCCTGCATATTTGTTGGGCGGCGATTGGTTCTTGTTTTGTTTGTTCTCGTAGTTCCTTGTTAATGATTCTTTCCGGCCCGGCCATCTGATCTTCAGTATAGAGCCAGCGAAGACAGTTAGTTGTTGATAAAGGTCTGCAAGCTGTTGGAAATATCCTTTGTGACCCACCCGCCAAGTTTCTGATCCGTATAGAAGAACTGACTTGACGTTTGTATTGAAGATCCGACTGAATTTTGTTGTTGATACTGAGTGACGAAGATTTCCAGATTGATTTCACGTTGATGAATGTGTTTCTTGCCTTCCCGATTCTCGCTCGATTTGACATCCTCGACCGTTCCGACTGCCTGTAGCTGAGGAGGACAATGCTCCCTAGATAAGTGAATGAAGTAACCTATTTCAAATCCCTCCCTTTGATGGTGACTGACGCTGGATGTTGCTGCTGCTGTTGTTGTTGGTTGGTTGGTTATTTTCATAACCTCCGTCTTGTCTATGTTCACCTGGAGTCCTGTCTTCGGTGGCTGCTTCTTCGACCAGTTTGTCGGTCGGTCTTCGCTCGTAAGCCTTCGATTTTGTGTGACGCTGGTGTCTACAAAAGTGAAATTAACAATCTGACATTTAGAGAGATTTACTTTATGATCCTTTGACAAGGATCACTGACTAATTTCTGATTAAAAAAAAGTTATTCATTTTTGAACAATCAGATTGAAATGTGACCACCATGGAAACAATCATCAGAATACTTATTAAAAATCGACTTCATCAGAATAAAGCAAGTCACGTAAGCAGAAAGAAGAGAATCTTAAAGGACACCTACTACAGTAAGTAAAACAGTGGAAGTTCTTCTTTTACATACAGTGCACTGATTTCTATCAGCAAAACAAGAATACAGCCATTGATTAATGCAGTACAGTGCTTGTGCCAAGGCAATCCTATTTGATAAAAGAGGCCTAGGTGCACAATATAAGGCAGCTGTTCAATCTAGGAAGGCAAACCGGACATATTTGGGCACCTCTGTCTGAACTGAAGACATCTTTAAGATGCAAGACCACAGTGGCATCTACTATCCTGTTTCGTGGAAAAATTGTAAATAAATCCGACTGAACAGCTAAAGAGGCAAATAAATTCGCCGAAAAGAGACTCTTCGCTGAATTAGCTATTTTGTTCTTTTGATTAGCGCCTAGAAAGGGGTTGGGATTTAAGGAAATAACTTATTCACAATATATTGAAAAAAAACAAGCAATTAGTAAACTTACATTCATTTCTGTATTTTCTTTAACTTTTTGACTCAATTGATTTTCTAAACTTCGATGATTTTGTATAGCATCATTTTGAAGACGTTTTATTTCAGCTTGATTCTCTTGAATACACTTTTATAGTAAGTATGTATAAAGGTACAGAAAAAATATATCAACTATTCCAGTTGTTACTTACAAAAAAAGTTATAAGATAACCAACTAAGAATAAAAGTCGAATTGTCTGTCATTATTATACAGTCAAATAAAAATGTAATTTTCCATGACTGACTGCTCAGGAGAGCTTCGTGAGCTCTTGGAAGTGTGTGGGCGGTTTTTACTTCCCGGCTGCCCACACCGTAGAAGTTGAGAGTTATTGTTGCGTGACCGCAGAGATCCCAGGGAACAACTGCTTGAGGCCGGTCACACACCGCCTGTAAGAACTGGCTTCGTGGATTGGTTCCGTATTAGTTACTTTCCACCGGTTACAGACCACCATAGGGTAAGTCGGGATGTACAATTTTCGGGGTCGACCTTTTCTAACTCCTCCTCTCCAGAGTGGAGAGAAAGCATAGTTGGCATGCTGGTCATCTGAGGGAAACACCTTACTGCTGTTACATCCCTCTTCCCCAGAAGCACGACTTCGCCCACAGACCCCCAGCATAGTGTTAAAACAAAATTTAATTTTTTTTTCCTTCATGTTCCCAGTGGAACATAGGGCTTCAAGCTAGTGGCAGTGTTTATTTTACAGGATAGGGTTGCTGGCCTCATGCCCAACCTTTCCCCTTCACCATCACTAATTCTGGCATAGCGAGGTAAAGGAGTGCGTCGGCCGAGGATCGAACCTCGGACCATGTAGATGGTCGGCGAGCGTCCTAACCGCTCTGCCACCCACGCACGTTAAAACAAAAAGTTCTACACAATGCAGGTAATTGCTTTTAGCCTAACCGTTATCCTAAAAGCCTTCCTGGCATGGTAGGACCTGCAGGAACAATAGTTCCAGCCAGTGTAGCTTGTTGTTGTCATTGTGATATGCCAGCTCGACCACCACGTCAAAGTAGCAGCTATCGGTCGGGTAGTTAGAATAATAACAGCTATGAGCCTACTCCTTATTGCAGTTAAGTATTTAGTCACTGATAATATCCCAATTTTCGGGGATTGGATTATGCGGAAGACTGTGAGGAGCAAGACGATGCAGCGAAGACAGAAATACAAGTGAACAGAGAGAAAGGCGTCAGAGGTGATGAAGATACCCAGCAACTGCAAGTATCAATCACTATGACAGAGATAAATTCGAAAGAGGTCAATTCCCTCACATATTCAGGCAGCAACCAGCATCCTTTCGACTACAGACAGTGGCACAGATGATGATGTCAAAACGTTGGACGACCAAATAACTCACCGCTTCCCATTCGGGTTCCTCTCCGCCAATGGCCTGGAGTCTGGTGACACTTGATGATGGTTTGTTTTCTCAGAGTATGACCAATCCACCTCCATTTCTTCCTGCATATTCGCTGCACAATCGGTTCCTGATTGGTTCGATCCCAGAGGTCCCCATTGCTGATCCGTTCTGGCCACCTGATCTTGAGTACTGAGCGAAGACAGCTGTTAATGAAGGTCTGAAGTTTGTTTGAGGTGCTCTTTATGACGCCCAGTGCAAGTCTCTGATCCGTATAGTAGCGCTGACTGATTTCACATTGGAGTTGAAAATCTGGATCTTATTTTTGATGCTGAGTGTTGTTGACACCCAAACAGACTTGAGAGTAGTGAAAGCTTGTCTTGCTTTCCCTATTCTGGCTTTGATATCCTCGTCAGTTCCATCTGTAGTCGAAACGATGCTTCCCAGGTAGGTAAAGGAGGTTGTTTCTTTCAGATTTCTCCCATTTATGCTGATTGTTGTCTGTTGTTTTTGCTGTTGGTGTTGGCCAGGAATCTTCATCCCCTCTGTTTTCTCTATGTTCACCTGAAGTCCTATTTTTGATGCTTCTTCTGTCGCCAACTTGCTGCTTTTCACTTGCATATCTTCCAGTTTGTGGGAAATCAGATATAAATCATCGGCGAAGTCCAGATCCTCCAAGCTTTTTGTGTGGATCCATTCTACGCCTGTCACCATATGACTGGCTCAAATAAACTGATTTCACCACTCACTCCTAAACTCTTTTCCAACGTAATCCTATGTTGGCTAACATTTCTTGTCGAGGAAAGCAGTGGCTAGGGATGCGCAACACATATTGTCCTAGCCGTCTCGATAGATGTAGCTTCACTAAATATTATCTCAGGGTGAGGCGCATCCACATATAGTAAACATTCCTCTTGGAACTGTACTACCACCATCTCACTGACCTTGTAGCAGATCTGACAACAAAAAGTCACGATAACACTATTAACAATAAACAACACTTAGTTGCTAGTTATCACTTTCAGATCAGCTTCATTTCTATAAGCACTCATCAATGGTGAAGTCGCTTAACAAGTTCACCTTATCTAACTTATTAACACAAATAATTTAACCTACTGACGAATAAACCACGTGACATATTAGCTGTTTAGCTTAGAAAATCAACTTCATATATGGTATGATTCATATCAATGACCACTAAATTATGTTAAAAATTGTCATCGAAAAGACAAGCGAATAAAGGCTTACCTTCTTTAAGTTTAATATCGTATCTGTCTGATCGTCAATTATTTTATTTTTAATTTTAACTGAGTCGCTTTCACTCTAAAAATAAAGGAAGAACAAAAAAAACAACAACAACAGTAAACATATTTAGTCAAGAATAAAAATATGCAAAAACAAATGCAGGCTTGTATAGCATTCTTCAACTGAGAGTTTGTGGTATTCATGAACTCAATAATACAATGACACACACACACACACACAGGATAATCATCTTACATAGAAGAAATTCCAGTATGAGATGTCGAGCTACTTCAAATGAAGTCTTCGTTGAACACATTGTAAACAGACAACATCAAGCGAATAGAATTGATACATGACACTCATCGAGGTGAGTGTGTGTGCGTCTGGAACTACACTTCTTATGTCTCAGAATTTTCTAGAAAGAATAAATTTTCTTTCTGCATGAATAGGACCATAGGCTGTCATCTCCTCCTCACATGATATGCTAAATGTCACCCTGGGACTCACAACCAATTCGTCGGCTTCTTAGTGTGCGTCCGATACACCTCCATTGTCTTCGGAATGAAATATTCCGAAGATAAGTTATTGAATGGTTCGTTCCTAGAGTTTCTGATTACTAATTCTTTCCAACCAGCCATGTGATCTTCAGAAAAGAGCCAGGGAAGACGGTCGTTTCCAAACTGATTTCAGAGTGATGAAGGTCTGTTGTGTCTTTCCGAGTCCAGTTTTGATATCCTCATCGGTACTGTCGCCTGTAGTTGGAACGATGTATCCTAGATAAATGAAGGAGATGACTTCTTTTAAATTTCTCGCGCTTAGAGTGATTGTTGTTGGAAGGAAGCCCTGGATTTAGGTCTCGTGCTTGTTGACACATGTTAACAAGGCGTATGTATCTGAAATCTTGAAGGAACTCATATCCCTATTGAGATTCGAACCCGAGTCTCCCAGAGCTGCAAATCAGAGAGAGACTTTGTCACTGGGCTATTTGGGCTCTCGAATAAATTCCTATACGACTGGGTCAAATACTTTGATTAGTCACTGGGGTGTATCCATCGTGTTGGTACAGACTGAATTCTGTCAGTGAGGCTTGTAATTAGGTAACCATGCTAGGTGGCTCACCACCACGGAGCATTCTGAATTGATATTAGGTAATTGGAGACAATCAGCTGTCTGTTTTCAACACAGAACTTTGCACCGATGTGTAGCAGTTCAAGTCGCCACACTTCACTCAGCTCACAAAGCTAGATAAGAAAGTAGAAGAAATGCATAAGAGACAGTAAACAGAGATGTGAGACAAATGAATAGTAATAACGAAGAACAAATCAGTTTCATTGGAAATCATAAGTTACAGGGAGTGGATGCATCTGTACTAGCCTAGCCATTGAGAACGATTTTGAGTCATATCACCAATTGTTTCCAACCATTGGTTTTTACCGTCCCGGCGACCCCAACCAGTCAGGAAGTCTACACCTTCCTACATGTCCTAAACTGACTGTTGTGGATTTCATTGACTGGTGACATGTTTTGGTCTGACCGCCGCTAGCTCTTTTCCAGCCTGACCCTATGTCAGCTAACATTGCTCATTGTCAAGGAAGGCAATGACTAGGCATACGTAATACATGTCCTAACCATCTCAGTCGATGTAACTGCACAGCCTCACCTATTGATTTCCCCTCCCACTTCCCTAGCACTCACTCGATCGATGCCTAACCTCAATATTGCTCACCCTATCATATTTTTTTCACATAGCAGATAGAGCGCAGGCACCTACGATCAAAGACAATCAGCAGGAAGCCCTGGACCTAGGTGGGTTTCGTGTTTCATCATGAATAATTGCAAACGTATTTAGGTTAAATATAATAGGTGAAATCAACAGTTCACCATACAAACACATATGAGATTGCTGAGTTACACAGCTATGAAAAATAAACAAAGGTGTATAGCCGAAGTTAAGTGAACTGTTTACAAAAGTTGAAGTATGCTAGCCAAGAATGCAAACAATGTCTTACTTGTTCAGTTAAATCAATAAACAAAATGCGGAAACCAATAGAAATGCTCATTTCGTTAACTGTATTTAGTTCTGAATAGGATATGACGGGTAAATCAATCTTGAAAACACATCAAACCACAAATAACAGGTGTAAGATGTAGATTGTTCGACAAATTTTACAGATTTGAACTGGAAACTGATAAAATGTACATACATCGCGGAGTGGAGCAAGAATTAAACGAGTTTACTTGATATGAGTGTGTCGGAGGTTCAATGGCAGAGTGCTCGCTAGCTACGCACATGATTTGGGTTCGATTCCAAGCTGACAAACACTGCTAAATCTCGCTGGTATTTGGGCCGTAAAAATAGCTAGGTTGTGCATGAGACTGGCAACCTCACTCCGTAAAATTAACACTACCATCGCTGAAAATTCAGAGCTTGAGTCCTTCCTTATAGGGTACAAATAAATTGTATGGGCCGCCAAGTGATCTTGAACAAAAAATCCCAATAAAGGACTGTCAAAGCCTTTGAGTTGGTTAGTAAAATGTATATTTAAATGTGTAGACCGCTTAGTAGGACGATTAGGCGTTACTCTAGTCCCTGATGCTTACTCTAATCCTAGACTGTTATGCAGACAGGTAACCAATGGCTTATCCCACATTGGTGATATGGTGATCAAGGTCAGTTTGGAAATACACCAATCAGAATTGGCCTGCATAAAATAACGCTTACTATTTTATTGACCATGATCATAGACTAATTGAAATAACCTTGGTGATTTTTTAAATAATACATTATTGTGTAAGCATACCGTTGCTTTCTGTCTCATCATTGGCGTGTTCTCTCTTAAGTCACAGGTTGAGAGATCAGATAGCCATTGTATACACGTTGTTGACGTAAACAAGCGATACGCATGACTACCACGTCTGTCACCAGCTCGATGTCCCTATTTCAACTCAATCTCCAACGCCGGAATGCGTTTCTACTGAGGACGTTCTGGAGCAAGAGAAAATCAGTCTCAGGACTAAAATTCGGGTCTACCAAGCTTCCATACGACCCGTTCTCCTGTATGGCTGTGAAACCTGGCTCTTCGCGCGGAAGATTTACGCAGACTCGAGGTAGTGACCATTGGTGCCTCAGGTACATTCTGCATGTTCGTTGGCAGGACAAACTCTCCAACGAAGAAGTGCGTCGTCGTTGCTACAACATAACCAAATTCCAGTACTGGTCCAACAACGCCGCCTTTGGTGGTTTGGCCATGTTGCGCCGACCAGATGACGATCTGTCAAATCAGTTCTAAATCCTCGCCATTACCATCTTGGCGATGTCGCAGGGGTGGACAGCTGAAGACATGGCTTGGTACAGTCAAGGCTGATATGGAGTGCCTGGGGCTACAAACCGTCTACGGACTCCGTATGTGGAACAAGAATTGGATATCCTTGTCGCAAGACCTTGCATCAGATCGCCGCGCCTGGGCAGCGATGATTCGAGACGTTCATGAAGCCGGCTCATCCTCCCGTAGGAGATAGCCGAAGTAAAGTAAAGTAGCGTTTTTCAAAATATAATATAGACCTAATTTCTAACCCTGAACCTTAACCCTAATTCCCAACCTTAGCAATAACCCTTAACCACAGACATTAAAAGTAGATGAGATCAGCAGAAAAATGTTGAAATAAAACTTACATTACATTCATGACTAGTGAAACGACTGTTTATTCACGGTAATTCGTAGCAGTCAGAGTTTATTTTTACCGCACTATATTTAACTCGGAATGCAATCAACAAAAGAAAAATATGATGTGGCTAAGATTCGTTTATAATTCACTTTTGATTTTCCCCTTTGATTGATTAGACCAAAATATTCGGCCTCTGTGTTGACATGTCGGTTCCTAGCACAGACGCTTCGACTATGTCTGGGGATTAACTTGAATTTAGGTTGGTGGATAGTTGGTGACTAGCAGTGGAATCCAGCTAGGATGCACATTTCGTCTTATTTGGAACTCATCAGTTAGATGTAGCTTCATTCCTAATGATTGATGGTGGAAACACTATCACTCAATGGGAATTGCAGCTACATTCAGATGACGAAGCCCAAATATGACGAAATGTGCATTATGGCTGGATTCCACTGCTAGTCGCCATCCATTACATCGACGTGATTAAGCCTAATAGCATGAAGTTTAATCCACTTACTATTCAATCAAATGGCAAGAACTGCTCACTGTGATAAAAAGTCCTAGTATACAACGCATCTATTAACTTCAACTAAATAAGTTTTAAAATAATTAGCAGTTTCTTATAAAACAATAAAATGCAAACATAATATAAAAAAACTGATTGAAATTACAGAGAATTTTACCTCTAATGACTTTTTGAGACTAGCAATCTCTAACTCTTGAGCTTCAATTTTAGCCTCTAAACGTCCACGATCCTGAGCTAAAGCTGATCCTAAGAAGAAGAAGAAGAGAATATTACAGATATGCATAACCGTCTTTATAATAATTGACTGACAATAACCCAAGCCTTTCCAGAATGAATACCAAAACACAGAAACTTTATGGTATTTAAGTGCATACACATGTCTCTGTCTGTCTGTCTGTTATCGACATAGAACTCTGCACAAATGTGCGGAAGTTCAAGTCGCCACACTCCGTGTAGCACGCGAAGCAAGAGAAGAAAGTACAAGAAAAGCATAATAGAGACAGTGAGCAGAGGTGTCAGACAAAGGAGTAATAATAAAAGACAAAACATTTTCATTGGAAATCATAAGTCACAGGAGTGGATGCATCTGCGTTTGCCACTGAGAACGATTTTGAGCCATGTCACCAATTGTTTCCAACCATAGATTTTTACCGTCCCGAGGACCCCAGCCTGGAAGTCTACACCTTCCTACGTGGCTTAGACCAACTGTTGTGGATTTCATTGACTGATGCCAAGTTTTTGTTTGACCGCCGCTAGCTTTTTTCCAGCCTGACCCTATATCCGCTAACATAGCTCGTCGAGGGAGGCGATGGCTTGGCATACGTAACACATGTCCTAACCATCTCAGTCTTTGTAGCTTCACGACTTCGTCGATTGATTTCCCCTGTTTACCTAGAACTCTACGCCTAACCTCAATGTTGCTCACCTTATTATGTCACTTTACACGGGAAATAGACCGCAGGCACCTATGCTCAAAGACAGCTAGTCTTTTCATGTCTTCCACTCTCAGTGGCCAGGTCTCACAGCCATAAAGGAGGACGGAGCGGACTGATGAGCAGTACACCCGCCCTTTGGTCGATAGTCGAACATCTCGTCTACGCCAGAGTCGGCGTAAACTGGCAAATGCGAAACGAGCCCCCTGTATTCGTGCTGAGATTTCGTCAGAGATCAACCCGTTGGCGCTGGCTGATGGTACTTCCCAAATAAGTGAGGCGGTCAACGTGCTCTACCACTTCACTTCCTATTTTTAAACTAGGCGTCGATGTAGTCCAGTCCTGTATCATCGTCTTGCATTTGGCGGGAGCGAATCGCTATGTACAGGGATATAGACCAGGCGGCACTGATAAATTTTTATTTTGAGACAGTGTTGTACAGTAATACTTAATGATGATGACGTTTCGACCACAATTTATTGCCACTCATATTCATATCAAGGCACTACTCACACAACTTTCTTGCTTCATTTATATACATGAGTGGAATTGGTGATTAGACATTTGAATAAAAATCAATATAAGATAGAGTACATTCGGAAATAATGATCAATCAAATACAATTAGATGGGAGATAAAGTTTTGTTACAGTAAAAATAAGTAACCTGTTAGAATGTTATAATGTGAATTGAAATGGAATTTTAACATTATATATTATCCTCTGATTTGACTAGTGGTAATATCTTCCATAACTCTGGTATTCACATTGACTCACTTCTACTGCATGTGTTGGGTGTAGACTCTATGAACTAGGTTTCAGTAATCAATCTCTGTCTATTTCCACCTACCTATATCACTTTTTGAATTTTGGTTCTGTGTTAATGTGTACAGTGCAGTGCAATGCAGTGTTGAGTTTTTGTTTAAATTACTTATTTTCGTGAAATCAATCATTCTAATCTTAGCTAAATTCTTATGTTCAGATAATCTCACTACTCCTGATCTACTAGTTTGACCCATGTAATTGAATTAACTCAGAGTTATTGCAAGGTATTTTGTAAATTATTACCCACAGGGTCCTTTAACCTACAGAGATTGTTTTACCTGAGTGAGTTTGTAGGTTTGAATGCCATCCTAAATTCTGCTTTATTGAAAATCCTACGTAAGATCCAGATGCCGCTTCCTTATGTAGTGAAACTGTAGATGCCTTATATTCTTTCTTAATGAGTAGCTCTGGCTTCTCACCTGTTTGGGACTTCACTGTACTTTATTATTATTATTTAGAAGAAAAACAGGTCGGGCAAAGAATACCCTTGAAACAACAGAAGACAAGGACCGGCAACAGATCATTTTATTACGGAAATCAGCACGTATTTATATATATTTCATGTACATTATTATAGCTTATTCAAGCAGACAAAGACAGTCTTCTGATTGGTTGTTTCTGGTTTCTCGAAAGTTAAGCCATATATTTGCGAATCTTATTTGCCCACGTTAAGTCTGCTGTGACTGGTTGTTGGATCAGCCTTGTTCATATTTTCTCACGGCCAATATTAGTGACCTAGACATTGACGTAAATTAATGTCTACCAATTGGCTAGCAGCCTGCTCTCACCACACCCTTCTCGATAACTTCTTCACTTAGCTAGCTCCACAGTCATAATACACAATATATTTAAGGAGGTAATGCCCTAGTGACAACACACTGATGATTTTTTATATAGTAAAATCGAGATGTTTTATTAAGAATAATAGCTTTACTCCAAACAGTAATCCTGATACAATGTGGAATTTTCAGCAAGTAATACAAATACAAGCTAATACAAGTAGAGAAAAAAGGTCGTTTACTCACTGTTTCACATAAAAAAAGTAGTTTCATGCCTAACACACTTTCCATTACATAAAGTGTGCTGAATAAAGAGGTATTGTAAAGTTTTTATAATTAGTTATTCGAGAATAAAGTCTTTAATAATTGCCTTTGGTCCACCTACCTGATAAGATACAATGGGACAGTTATGTATAAAAAAAGATTCTCAGGATTCCGACAAGATGATATTAGTCAATATCTGGTATGAGTACAATAATTTATCCACAACAGTGACGCCTAACTCGCCCTACTGAGAGCTTCTAGTGTCCTTCATAGGGTAACAAAGTCTTTTTTTCAAGTAGCCCAATAAAGATTAAAGGGGAAGTAGAATACAAGAATTAAAACACTGTAAAAGTAGGCACTCAGTGATATCAGATTGTCTTAACTTCTTTACGGAGAAGACTAGACGTGATATATCTTTCTAGAAAGTAACATGGTGTGGAAAGACCAGGAAAGAACAGAGGAAATACACAATCTAAGATATTTAACATCCAACTTAGTTTCAACTTCCACGCCATCTATGATACAAGAATCATGAGAACGAATCAGTTCATTGAAATTATCCTAGTGTCTACTACTGATCATTCCATCTCAACAAACGCCTCCCGCCTTAATGTAATCTACAGAATCAAGAATAACTTACCAAAGGCAATACGGTTTCGTCTTCGTTGTATCGCTGAAGCTCTGGCCATTCACATAGAAAAACTGGAGCTGTGCATACAATAGAGAACTACTCAACCGCTTCTAATGTCATGGTAATAACTTTGTTTATTTTCGATGACTTAATTTCGTTTGTTTGCCTGTTTCTTTAACTGCTTATAATTCTTGAATTCATTTAAAACTCTTACGTAATTTCATATTCTCTACTTTGTTCCTATATGTATCCTGAGTAGAACTCAATCATCAAACTATTCATATTATTACATAGCTTCAACTTTAACAACTGTTTGTGACAACTCGTCACCTTTGTTACTACCCTAATTTCATTAACACTCAATTTTCTTGACGGATTTTGGATTACGTAACTCCAATTGCCAATTTTCACATGTTTAGTTAGAATAACCATAACCAATTGTATTTTTGTTTGACAAGCTCAATGTATACATACATACAAAACAACACATATATATTTGCGAATGTACAACTAAGAAAATGAATTCGTCGCCAAAAAGAGACTCTTCGCTGAACTACGTGCTTTGTTTTCATTAATGTCTAGATGGGGATTATCCATGAATTAAAAAGTGAAATTAACAATCTGACCTTTGGAGAGATTTAGCTTAAGACCATTCGATAAGGACTACTGACTAATTTGCAATAAAAAACTCTTGGAACAATGTGATCAGCATGGAAACAGTCAAATCATCTCTAACCAAAATCAACTTCATCAGAACGATGCAATCCATGTAAGAAGAAAGAAAACAGAAAAGTAGAAAGAACAGTACCCTGAAGGATACCGACTACAGTAAGTAAAGCAGTGGAGAATTTCGCTCGACATACAATGTGCTGTTTCCTATCAGAAAAGTGAGAAGAATACAAGCACTGGTTAATCCACCACCTTGTTTGTATCACAGAAAGCTTATTTAACAACAGAGATCCTGGTACAAAGTCGAAGACAGTTATGTAATATGGGAAGGAATACCGAACATATAATGGGGAAGATTTGTAGCTCAAGTGGATGATTTTGATGTGGTTGTGTCCTCTGAGCTGGATAGTTTATTTTCGAAGCTTTCATTGTCCTACTGGGCAACATCTTCAGCGCATACTTCAATTCGAATTGAAGTGAGCTTTCAGATTTCACCACGAGTTTATTAATCATCTCTCCCGGTGACCTTGAAAGTAATTGACTGTTTTTGTGTGCATCACACCTTCTAGGCTACTTGTATTGGAACTGATTGTTTCTTTGACTTGAACTTTGACCCTTTGTGTTTGAGATTTCCTTCTTATCGGTTGGTAAATTTTGTGTCTATTGATTGACGATTCACTGGAATACCAGGCTTCTAAAATTTCTCTATCATTCTTGTTGTTTCCTGTGTCTAATATTTGAGTGTTGTCCTAGTCGAATTGATGTCCGTGGTTGTCTGTATGCAGTTATATTAGTGAGTGGATGTCATGTCTTTTGACGGCTAGTTTATGTTCATGAATACGAAACGAAGGGGACGTCCACTTTGGCCAGTGTAGTGCTTTTCTCAATTGTTACGATTTATTTTGTAGATGATGTTGGTTTTATCTTCTTTCGTCGTTGAGTCTTAACAACCACGGACATCAATTCGACTAGGACAACACTCAAATATTAGACACAGGAAACAACAAGAATGATAGAGAAATTTTAGAAGCCTGGTATTCCAGTGAATCGTCAATCAATAGACACAAAATTTACCAACCGATAAGAGGGAAATCTCAAACACAAAGGGTCAAAGTTCAAGTCAAAGAAACAATCAGTTCCAATACAAGTAGCCTAGAAGGTGTGATGCACACAAAAACAGTCAATTACTTTCAAGGTCACCGGGAGAGATGATTAATAAACTCGTGGTGAAATCTAAAAGCTCACTTCAATTCGAATTGAAGTATGCGCTGAAGATGTTGCCCAGTAGGACAATGAAAGCTTCGAAAATAAACTATCCAGCTCAGAGGACACAACCACATCAAAATACCGAACATATTTGATACCTCTGTTCAAATTGGAGACAATAGTATGATGTAAGAACAGCGCTATGTAAAGTACACCTATCATATTTGTAAACAATTTGTTTTAGGTGGTTAAAAGCCTTCAATAGGGAAGCTTAACGGTTAAATCAAAGCGGTTTTTCCACTATTTTTGGAAATGGTGAGGTAACGGAAATTGGTTTAAACTTAACGCACAATTCATTTGATGGTTTAGGCACGTGGACAATTTTCAAATCTTTCCAAGAAGAAAGCACAACGTTGTGTATCAATGAAGAAAATCTTTATTGATAAAGTTATCTTCGAAGGCTGTACAGTTATGTTTATATACACTAAAAAGGTGTTGTAGTATTGTAGGGAAGGAAGTAACACTGACACAGTAGCCCAGGAGTGATTTGTAAGAAAAAGAAGTAGTTGGGAGTCTACAGAAAAAAAATGACCAGTAAAATGTACAAAAACGCCACGTAAGAGTGTAACGCCAGAAGACAAGGGCCAGGCAGCACATGATTTATTGAGAAAATCAAGAGATATCTTTAGATTTTTATGCACATTATTGTCAACGGAGAAGCAACGCCTTCAGGTTGATTGTTTTCTTGCTTCAGGTTATTTTGTACTGTTTGTGACCATTTCTCAGAAAGTTAAGCCATATATCTGCGAATCCTATTTGCACACGTTAAGTCTACCGTGATTGGTTGTTGAGTTCCTCAAGGTTAGACCCCGATTTTGGACGTAACATTGACATATAAATTGCTGTCTACAATTTTTGGCTTACAGACAGCTCTCACCACAAGAATACTAATAATTGTAATTACTTCCTGAACAAACCATTTTCGCTAATGCCTATGTCAGATACACAAATGTCCAAACCTAACAACCCAATGTACCATTCCGTCTTATCTTAAAGATAATTTCAGAAGACGAATATGTAGTGAAGCTGGATGTCCTGAGTACACCAGATACCAGAAGGGACACGAAAAAGCAGTTTATCATCTTCGAAACAAAAATCTAAAATCAAAGAATGCATTATACGCACTGACTGTATTTGTATAATTTTGAGTCAAGTTAGTGACTGACAACAATTACTGTAGTCACAGGATTTCATCATGAGCTGACATTGATTAGAGAACCATTGGAAAACGTAGGAGCACTGGCCGAAGACATTGGCTAGTGGTGGCGCTATGTCGTGAATTGGCAGAAGTTAGAACTCATGGGCTGGCCATTGGATCGGGTCCCAGTGGCTTAATGGTATACGAGCTCGCCTTGTAACCAGAAGGTCCTGGGGTCGAACACCGATGGGTACGTACTGATGAAGAGTCCCAAACTAGGACGAAACAGCTGTCCAGTACTCCCAGGTTTTCCAGTGGTTCTCTAACCAATGTCAGCTCATGATGAAATCCTGTAAGCAATCAAATCCCTACAAACCAACACTTGGATTACTGTAGTTCTTAGAGAGCTTATGAAAAAGAGTTACAAAAACAGTCTTATTATTTAAATAAAAATTTGTCTGCACATGCAAAAATCTGTTACACACACACACCTTGTTTAGCCAATTCTTCACTCCAATTCCGTCTTTCTGCTCTTAAACCAGCTATAATGGATTCTTGAGCTGCCATTTCTGCTTTCTGTTGTTTAATCTCCTATAGTCAGACAAACAAACAAAAGAAAATTAGAGAAATTAGAGTTTAAAAAAAACACGCTAAAAGATCAGAATAGAAACAAACTTTGAACAACAAACAACAAAGCGAACAATGCTGGCATAAACTTGAAAAACTGAATGTTACAAACAGAGAAGAATTAAAAATATATCGGGTAGATAACCCCTCAAACTTTTATGCCATAAAAGTATAACACAGAATTTATGAATTTATAGGCTCGACATCAGATCAGCTAAGGAGCAGTGACTGGCTAGTGCTTCGCTTCGTTTGAAAGCAGAGGACTGGTTGTTGATTTAAACGAATTGCAATGGCTGCTTCTGTTCAGACTATTCAGTATCTGAGGGACTTTGGTAGTTTATTCACCACCCACCCAAAAGATGATAGAGAAAGACTGTTGAACCTTATCAGAAAATTCTGATTTTATTTCAGGTATATTGTGGAAGATGATTTAGACAGGAACATCATAATATCTCAATTGATGAATGAAGTCCATTCAGCTATCAAATTCACGTGTGAAGAAGAATCACAAAGTAAAATTGCCTTTTCCAACGTTTCAACTCACAAGAAGACCAGACGGTAGTACAAAAAGGAATTTGCATAAGTAAAGTACTTCGGTCGATCAATATAAACATTCTTACAGCTTTTCTACTCTTCAGCATGAAAGAATTTTGGTAAGGACCCTCATGTAAAGGATTAGAGCTATTCGTTCAGAGATGAGATATTAAGGATGCACTTAGGGTTGTATACAACACGTTAAGTGATAACAGCCACCCCGAAAACTTCATCATTAAACACATAGCCATAAGAGAGTATAAAAGAACTCTTTTGTATCTGGTAACAAGAAGCCTCTATATATACGATTACAACTCAAAGATGATAGGTAATACCAGGTGAAATAATAACCAACAAGTTTAGAAAATCCATTCAAAAGAAAGTTTAATGTCGATGGTAAGCTGATGCTTACATTTTCCAAACAACCGGTTGTAATTCCAAAAGTGGAAAATGAAATACCTAGGCTAGCCACTTTTAATTGTCAAGTATTGGTTTTGTAGGGATTTTGTTTGATTGCATGGAGGATTTAATCATGAGCTGACATCAGTTAGAGAACCACTGGAAAACCTGGGAGTACTGGACAGCTGTTTCGTCCTAGTTTGGGACTCTTCATCAATACGCACCCACCGGGATTCGAACCCAGGCCCTTCTGAAGAGTCCCAAACTAGGACGAAACAGCTGTCCAGTACTCCCAGGTTTTCCAGTGGTTCTCTAACTGATGTCAGCTCATGATTAAATCCTCCATGCAATCAAACAAAATCCCTACAAAACCAATACTTGAAAATTAATCTGATGCTCACTAGTGGCTGGCCCTATTCAGGCAGTTAACCTGGGGTTCTAGTGGGAAGCCGTGACCAGTAGGGTACAGCAGGTTGAAGATGAAGCAGTAACTCATCGAAGAAGGCATTACGAAGTGGTCGCGCTATGTCGTAAACTGGCAGAAGTTAGAATTCAAGGTCCATTGGATCAGGTCCCAGTGGCTTAATGGTATACGAGCTCGCCTTGTAACCAGAAGGTCCTGGGTTCGAATCCCGGTGGGTGCGTGCTGATGAAGAGTCTCAAACTAGGACGAAACAGCTGTCCAGTACTCCCAACTTTTAATTGTATCTATCAATTCAACTACTAGTGAGCAGCTAGCTAGTTATATTGGCCATCGCTCTAAGAACTTCATTATTCGTTCTCGGTAACACCTACCAATGTGGTTAAATAAAAGTGTTGTTAAAATCATCAGCATTTCTATATTTTTATTCTATATTTTACTATAGCCTGGTTTCACACAGTATTTTTATTTTGGTACAAGTATGGAATTTTCAGGGTGTGATATCGGTAGCCCAATTTTGCAGACCGACCATTGATATCGGATTTGCGTCAGTAGGGGATCGAACCCCGGACTATGTGCATGGTCGGCGAGCTCCTAACCATTGTGCCACCAACGCATACCACCTCGTGCCAACAGGTCACAAAGTCAGTATTTTAGAGTCTGTCTCTATCATGATCTATCGGGTATCGGATAAATTAACAAAGGCCTCTAGATACCAAACACTCCAAACAGCAGAGGCCATTGAAATTGATCAAAATCAACAAGTACTCTGCTTTCAAAAGAAGAAGGTCAAATCAGTCACCATTCCTTAGCTGACTTCATGTCGAGCCTATAAATTTATAAGTTTTGTGTTACTTCTTCCCATAATTTATCTGATATTGATGAGTCAGTTTAATGTTATATTAATGTAGATTATCTCAGTCTCTCTTGCTGATGCTTTCGAAATATGTAATCACCAATCGATACTAACTATTGATTCAATGCAATAATGAAATAACATTCATGTTGTTAACATGAATATTGCTTCAGTTGTGATGGACATGTATAACTATAAAATCCAATGAAGAAGAGATCATCGAAAAGAATATTCTACGTTCCCTAATCAATTTTTTGAAGTCGCTATAACGTATCTTCAGTGAATTCAAACAAAAAGAGAACTAAAATTACAACTTTTATTTCAATTAAATATCAAGTAAAATCCTGAGTCGCATTATCCTGGAGAGATTCAAGGATGCACTGGAGACAGAACTCCGACCAGAACAAGCTGGCTGGATCCAGAAAAGGCAAATCATGTTCTGACCAAATTGCAACTATACGCATCATCATCACAGAACAAAGCATGGAATGGCGATCAAACCTCTACCTCAACTTTATAGACTTTGAGAAGGCCTTCGACAGTTAGCGTTGACCGTGAAGTAATTTGGAAATTACTCGAGTACTACGGTGTACCCCAAATATTCATCAACCTTATTCAACAGCTGTACGACAACGGCACATGTCAAGGGATCCACAACGGAAAACTCAGCGAGGCGTTTGCAGTGAACACAGGAGTCAGTTAGACAAGGGTGCTTATTATCACCCAGGATGATATTCCTAATTGTGGTGGACTGACTGGATTATGCGTCAGACAGTGGGAAACGAGAAGACAGGGATATCCTGGACCGACGTGAAGAACCTAGAAGACCTGGATTTCGCACGTGGATGATTTATGTTTGTTGTCACACACAATCGAAGACTTACAAGCGAAAACCGACCGACAAACTGGTCGAAGAAGCAGCCGGCGAAGACAGGACTCCAGGTGAACATAGACAAGACGGAGGTTATGAAAGTAACCAACCAACCAACAATAACACCATCAACATCCAGCGTCAATCACCATCAACGGGAGGGATTTGAAAGAGGTTACTTCATTCACTTATCTGGGGAGCATTGTCCTCCTCAGCTACAGGCAGTCGGAACGGACGAGGATGTCAAATCGAGCGAGAATCGGGAAGACGAGCGAGAAACACATTCATCAACCTGAAATCAATCTGGAAATCTTCGTCACTCAGCATCAACAACAAAATTCAGTCGGATCTTCATTGCAAACGTGGTCAAGTCAGTCAGTTCTTCTATACGGATCAGAAACTTGGCGGGTGGGTCACAAAGAATATTTCCAACAGCCTGTTGCAGACCAGACCTTTATCAACAACTAACTGTCTTCGCTGGCTCTATACTGAAGATCAGATGGGCGGGCCGGAAAGAATCACCAACAAGGAACTATGAGAACAAACAAAACAAGAACTAATCGCCGAGCAACAACAAATATGCAGTTGAAAGTGGAGATGGATCGGACACTCGCTGAGGAGACCACTGGGTGACATCTCGAGTGGAACCCGAAAGGGAAGCAGCGAGTGGGACTTCATTGCAAGGGTGACATGGAGGAGATCGTGTGAAGAGGAGGAGTTGAAATAGTATGGACTAACATGGATGCAGGTGAGAAGTACAGCAGAAGGAAGACAGAAGTGGCAAGTGGAGACGTGCAGTTGAAGCGCTATGTTCCATAAGAAACCCAAGGGAGCGATAATAATAATAATAATAATATGATCTCTGAGCTAGATGGTTCCACGGAAATTAACTTACCCAGCAGAGAGAATATAACAATATCAAAAAACATTCATTCGAGCTATAAATCCTTTCATTACTACCTAACGTTGTGCATTGAACACGGAATGCAAAAAGAAACGCTTCAATCCAGATCGTTTACAACTGGTTGACTTTGATTCAATTTTAACAGATTCATTGGTGGCTTGTTAAAATTTTTAACAAGTAGTCTAAACAGTTTTTCAAAGCATCGGCATTACCAGTTCTAGAACGATCAAAATTCTACATGAAAACAATGTATAGAAGTTTGTCGCCGGACAGTAATCATGGTAAGCGCCAATCGAAATCCATGTTATCACCAAATCCAATGTGTCATGTTAGATGTCGAGTTTAATGCTTATTTCACACTCATCAGAAGAAATTACTCATGACCTTGAAGAAACTCATATTTTCTCTTTGAGATCCGGCATCAAACTGTTATGTGTTAAAGTCAAAGACTCTACCACTTAGCTATATTTAGGTCACTTGCCAGTTTCATACGAGTTTATCCATATTTACTCTTAAATTCTGGTTTAATAACTGAAACAGTACATTAGAAACAAATCTAAATCTACTTAACCAAATGTATTTCGTGCTCATATTTCTATCAACTTGAAAAGATCACAGTTCACAGGAAATGATATGAAGTTTAAAAGTTGTAAACTTTTGAATGAAATCTTTAAAAGTTAGTTTGTGGGAATTTGATTTGTTTCAAGTTTGATCAGTAGCTGACACCAGGTAGAGAATCACTGGAAAGACAGGGAGTACTGGACAACCATCTCCTTATAGTCCGCCAATCTTCATTAGTTCACATCTTCTGGTTACAAGGCCACCTCGTAGACCATTCGGCTGCTGGGACCCGATCTAATGGCCGATGAATTCAAACTTCTAGTCATACAAAATCACAAACTGAACGAAACAGCTGTCCGGTAGTCGATGGTTTTTTCCAGTGGTTCTCTAACTGATGTCAGCTCTTGATCAAAGCTGG